GTGTGTGTGTGTGTGTGTGTGTGTGTGTGTGTGTGTGTGTGTGTGTGCGTGCGCGCGCATGTGTTCACCGCTGCCAAAATCATCTGCCAGTCATCTGTTGGCCTTAAAGTCTCACTTTAAATATTTATTTTTATTGAAATGTCAACATGTTACATCAGTAAAATAAAATAAATGACTTTTTATGCTGATAATTGTTGTCTCATACCTGAGGACAACACTGCACAACAATAATAATAAGATAAATGCACAGTACAAAAATGATTAGATACATGTTTTGAGTGATATGGCTAGTTAATGTATCTATACAGAGATCAATCACTGCATAAATACACAACAAAATGAATGTAACACAATATAGCATACTATACAAAATACATTATTAACATTATGTACAAATGATATAGTTTGTGTTTTACATTTACGAGCTGCAGATTGTTCTATTTTAGATGTTGGCATTGGTTGATAATACAGAGGTTTATTATAATTATATGTATCCTAGTATCAATAGTCTGAAATTGCTCCCTCTCGGACGTTTTCTTCATGCTGACATGAAAGATAATGCGTTTGTTAAAACCCATCATAGCCACCGGTTTGATCACTGCTCTCACTCAACCATTTGCTTTCAGGTCAGTCACAGTAAATTTACATAATTGTGTTGAGAAAACATCTGAGCAAATTTTTATCAAGGAGCCATCTGCTATACTTTTCACCAGTCAAGATTAGAGTAAAATAGTCTAATTTGGCCGTCACAAAGAGATGAAAAAGATGTATTTGTGACATTGCTCCACGTTGATGTCAACACATTTTTCCTGTATATACATTTTCAATCCCAATATTCAAATTCTGGATCTAGACGTTCTAGAAATCCCAAACAATAATAACACCTTGGTATCAAATGTCTCTCCATGATAGATTTGTGGGTGTCCTGTCAAACATGACAAATGACCCCACCCTGTGCCAGATTTCACTCCAACATCTTTTTTTCCCCCACTGGAACCCCCTCCCCACCAAATCAAGATGCAAGATGCTCCAAAAATGCCATTTGTCTTTTCCTTTCTGCATCTTTTGTAGTATTTGAGGGCAAAATGAAGACTGCCCCCCCCCATGTTTTTTTAGAAAACATAAAACCTTTCAATGTATATTTTTCAGGTAAATCTGCCTGATGTCATGCATATCCTCTCAGGGAAATGCAGTTCTCTTATTGATTCAGCTCTTCGTCCTCACACCTGTCACTGAAACCTTTCAGCTGTGCAAAGGATCTACTGGTTTGGGGGGGTCAGTTACAGTGAAAAACAGAAAAGGCAGTAGAGAGACGGCTGAGACACCCACTAGTCTGAGTCTTCACTGCTGAAGTAGGAGCTGTCGTTACATTCGGCCATGTAGAGGAACTTGTCAACGTTGGGATTTAGCTTGGGGACCCAGTGGCGAGGCACCAGGAACGTTGCCAGATTGAACAGATCCACAAACACTTTGTAGCGGTCACTAAAGGGAAAGAAAGTCATTTATTAAATACTTAACTCATGCACTCTCCCGATATAATTGCGCATCTGTTACAAATTGTACTGTGTGAAGGACAAAAGCAAAATTAAACTGCTGCCAAAATGTAATGCACAGCGAATAAGGAACTTGTCGTCGCTCCTTCTAAATGAACTTGGAAGTATAGTTTGTGCATGTCAGGAGGAAAGTGACCATATGGCAAGTTCATTTAGATAAGCACAGAGTAGAAGTGTCCTGTCCTTATCTAAATGAACTCTGAAGTGTTTAAGATACCTGCAGTGTAAAGTGTTTAATCAGTAGGTTAAAGTTTAGAGCATACAATACCTGACAGTGGATCTCAGGTAGTGGTAGCCAGATGAGCCTCCTGTGCCGGCTTTGCTGCCAATCATACGATGCACCATGCATACGTGATTGTCTAAAACAGAAGACAGAAATATCCTCTGTTGTATGAGAGTTGTTTTGGCTCTGCATGTTTCATTTGAACTGTAAATTGTTTAGACGTAAGTGAGACATGGGGGAAATAGAAATGTTGTTTCATGGGAATAGGTTGTCGGAAGAGGATGTTGTAAGATTCTTCTGCCTCTGAGGCCCTGACCTAACTTTAGCTCTGTCAACTCCCTTGTTAGTACTTGTTAATGTTTTTCCCGCACAATGTTCTGTTCTTCTTGACTGGTGAGCACATGCAGCGACTGACAGGGATGCTACAGAAGCTTACATCGCCATTTTGTCATGAGGGTGTCGATGTCCATGAGGGACGTGAGCAGCTGGAAAGGGACCTGGAACCTCGGCTCCTCCCTGAAAGGTAAAAGAAGATTTTAGTATTTGCTGTATTTTATTTTTCAAGATCATTAAGTGGAGTGTGAAAATGCTTCTGGGTGGTGTTTATAGAACTTGTAAAATGAGAGCGATTACAGTGACCGTCACATGACACTGACTCTTGTGTGGCCTTGACGAGTCTCGTGAAGTTGCGTCACGACGTAATAAAAGGTGAAGGAGTGCCGTAAAAAGCACAAACCTGTAGAAGTTGATCATCAGGGCGCCTTGGAGAGCCTTGTAAGAGAGCCGCCTCTCACCTTGTCAGCAAGATTTAAAGAGTATTACTTTTTAAGCAAAACAAATTCTCTTTGTGTAGCTTTGAGCCTAATTCACAAAATGATACAATTTTGAGTCAAATCTAGACCAAACATATGTGAAGCCTTGACTAACACATTAAAAAGCTCTCACCTTTGCTGAAGAGATGGTCATGGCGCTTTTCATCAAACAGAGAAGTGAACACCTCTTTCTGTTTGACCAGCTCAGCCATCACTTCTTCCTTGTCTTCAGAATCTGCCATTTTCTTTAAGAAAAATAATCAAAAAATATCTCTGTCAGTCATCTGACAGAGACTGAAAGTTTGTTCTGGAAGCTGGAGTCATCTCTCACCTCGATTTTCTCCTTCTCCTGATTCAGCCCCTTAAATATATTGATTTCCAGCCTTTCCCAGAAATTGAATCCATCCGCCTCCAAGCCAGGAGTTCTCTCCAGCCACTCCTGTGAAAAACAGACACAGGTTTTATCACCTCTGTACCCTGGTGAGAAGCACATGGGCTTATCCAGAGCAAGATACAGCACACAGAATGTTGAAGAAAGCTGGTACAGAAAAATATCACGATGCCTTCTTCAATTAATTTGGTAAAGTTTAAAAGCTGATGACCATGTGTTTTGTGGTTGTAGGATGTACCTCGACTAGTTTTAGGAGTGTTGGCTCCCGTTCAGTGGCGAGCAGCGTCTCGCTGTCCTGACCCTTGAAATTGTCCCTGTAATGGCGTCGGTTGTATGGCACCCTCAGGTTGTCTGGGACCCCGATTTTGTTCTCCAAAATCCGAAATTGAAGGCTTTGGAATCCGGAGGCTGGAGCCAAGTAGTCTCTACATACAAACACACACACACACAAGTAAGCGTACATGCACACGACACAGAGTGCACTATCATGGTTTGAGAGCCGAAGTAGAAAGGGCCAGATGGTATTTATGAGCTTACCTAAAGTCAAAAAAGTCCAAGGCTGTCATTGTCTCCAAAACCGTGAACTGTTCGACCAGCAGTCTGAATATCCTCACGATCCTGTGGATGCGGTTGTTGACTTTGAGCATATTGCGTTCGTCTCGGACCTGAAGGAACATCAGGATGTTGAAGGAAATACTTAGCAATCACGGCAAACCTTGTAAGCACATATCCTCAAACAGGAAAACCAGTTAGAGGTTAGATATTTTACATCAATATTTCATCAACCTAATGCGTCACTCTTTAGGAAAAAAAGTCAATATTTAAAACTGTTAATTTAGATGTAGAACATTAGCCCGAGCGACACACAACATTTCTTGATTTTTCGCTAACTGGCCTCCAAAGCCAGATACTGTGAGATCTGACTACCATAACGTTGTCCTCTTGAGGATTTTGTGCTATTTTTGAGCTCTACTTTGTGATTTCATATTTTGAGCAGGTGTTTTATCTTCAACACTGACAGTTCACATTTAATTAAAAGATCTTAGAATTTAGTGGAACGAAATGTTCAGAATCATCTAATTGATGGTACGTAAAAACTAGAAAATCTATTTGTCTGGATTTGATCCATGCCATTTTACCTTCTGTCGTCATGAACAAGAATAATAAATACACCATCACATAACGTCTGTACGATTCTTTCACCTGAGAAATGTGACTTACATGTTCACTGATGAAGATATTTCGCACTGAATCAAGTTCAAACAAAATCTGTTTGAACCACAGTTCATAGGCTGAAATAAAAGACAAAAAGATTTTAAGCATCATCAAAATTTTAGTATAACTCTACAAGGTAAACGGGTCAATTACACTATAAAACATGCCAAGTTGAGCAAGTTACTCTCTTGTATTCAGTCGTGTACATTTTAAAGATACAATTTTAACCAAATTTATGATTATTTTTGTTATTTCAACACAAGTGAAACTGCAAAAACAAATAAATACAAGATTAAAACAACTATTTAATTTCTCTGAGACGAGTAGAAAGAACAACAGGCTCCTAAACACTATGAAGCTAGTTTTACCTTGATGGGTGACGATGAAGAGGTGCTCATCATGGATCTTATTACCCTTTACTTCACTCTGCAGCACCTGGGCGGAGAGTATTTTGTCGAGCTGAGAGTTGAAAAGAAATGAAGCACTTAACTTAAACGCACAAATTTGAATACAAGCCTAAATTCCAAAAAACAAAGGATAGGTGGTGTTTCCTACATGCAGGTAGTCTCCATAGATGATTCCTCCTTTACTGGCCTTGTTAACTCCTGCCTGGGAGGCATCCTCGTCTTCCTCTGTTTTGGGAGGCTTGTTTTTGAATAACCTGCAATGCGAAGAGAGAAGCCGTTTGGTTATTTGAAATGAATTGTTGGGCTGCATTTAGTTGAATTTGAAAAAAAGAGATTAAAAATCCTTTAGAGCCCTATTTTAGTTGCAACGACAATTTGAACGTACAAATGCCTCTTCTCAAAGTACGGGCATCCACTCATGACTTGTTGCAGCAAAGATGTGTTCTTCCTTGATTACTAAAATTGTCGCAATCCAGAGTTTTAAAGACTCACCTCGTCCAATCACTCACGAGGATAAAGTCACATCCGGCCCACCTCTATTTGCCCCATGAAGCTGTTGTTGAAAAAGGACAAACTTCTGGACTTTGTTTGATGTGCTAAAAGAACATCACAACAACAATATAATGTGTATGTATGTATGTATGTATATATATGTATGTGTATATATGTATGTATGTATGTGTGTATGTATGTATG